CCAGCCTGTCAGCTGTGCATACTTTAATAAACAAAAAGACAAATGAAGTGAAATGTCCTGATAACCAAACATAACATTACAATAAATGCTCAAAATATACATAAAACAATGCATGTGCTGTTGCCCATTAGTCACTGGAGTCTGAAACTTAAGCTTCTGGATTTTTGAAGAATAATACCTAATAATACCTGGATATTAAAGAAAAGTCATGTGACTTTCTTAGCTTGACAAATCAAAACCCATTGAATAGACAAAACAAACTAAATAGCAAAACACCCTCATATACATATGAGGCTGTTTACATGGATGTACATATATACAGTACATCCATGTAGAATATATTGCTAAATACACATTGCTAAAATAGATTATTTTCATAGACTCGTTTATATCGGTTTCTGTGGATTGGTTAATTGGGATTTATTTCCCACTATGAGACCAATTGTCTAGCTCTTAATGTAACTAAGACTGGCGATGAAATCTGGAAAAAGATCATATTTGTCCATTCAAAGACTGCAGACTCTCATTATCAGACCGAAGGAACAAAGTGTCCTTGAGTTGTAGGTTATTTGTCTTTGGAGGAAATAAGACATCTTACAAATTATTTTTATTTTTAATTTCACAGCATGTCCTCTTTAGTGTACAAAAGGAATAAATATGTTTCCTTACATCAGTTAAAAGATAGATAAACAAAATGTCCACCACAATGGACATAAATGAATGGGTTAGGTCTCAGGGGGTCTCAGGGGGTAGAATGAAACCGCATTCACCAAAAGTTAATGGTGAAATGACAATGTTAAGTTGAGTTATATAAAGGAGTTGCTGAATATATGAATGTGTCCTGGAATCAAAATGAACAACAAATGTTTGTTGCACTACTTGTTATTTATTTATTTATTATTATGTGTCTTTATTCTTATGCTGCACTGTGTTGTATTGCACCGATGTTGTCCTGAGGGACAAATGATTGCATAGGCCCACCTGGCAAAACAGGGGCGCTACTTAGGCAGAAATCTATCCAGAGGTGCGAAACTCCAAAATAGCAATGCCGCTCAAAAATTTCAATGCACTTTCCAAATACATGTAACGAGACTTGAAAAAAAATGCTTCAAATAAATCATGTGAAGTAAGGGAGTTGTCGGGAGATGAGAGCCTGCTCAGCGCTGGCGTGGGGGTGCCGGCGTAGATGTAACATTGCAGGGGGGTGTGCTCTAAATGAAGCCCCAGTGTGGAGCACAGATAGCTGGCCCTTTTCTTCTCTCGCTGCCTCTCCTCATAGCCTCACCTGAAAGTGCAGGCTGCGGGCCTGAAAGTGGCTGCAGTTGGGAGGCTTTATTAGCCCCCAGCTGTGGCCAGTTGGGGCTGTGGCATGGTGATGGCCGGCACTGCCATCCGTAACCAGAATGGCCCTGACACCCCTGCAGCCATGCCGTTCCGGGAATCCAAAATAAGCAAGACTATTGTATGGACTGATGCTGTAAATAATATCCACCTTTTGTGACAGAAACATTTGCAGAAAGGAATACTGGAAGGCATGTCCTGCCTAGTAAAACACGGAGTGGCTTTATCTTGTAAGGGCGGGGGGAGGGTAAGTTAGGATGATTTCAAGGACCCCGAGATCTGTTCCCTAAGTCTGTCTTTAAGTCAAAGTCAGAAAAAATTATATAATACATATACACATAATAATTATTCTGCATTAATAATGAAAGTAACTAAATACAGTACTGTATTGTACCTAAAATCAACGAAGCACTGAAACCATGCAATGTTTTCATGAGCATCACAAAGTAGTGTGCGCATTCGTATTAAGAACCATATGTATCTCACCAGCTTTTTTATATTGGCATTATGGCAGTACATTCATAAGGATTCTTAACCTGGTGAGTGCCTCTATGTACCAAACAATAGATTTTTCATTAGATAATTAGTGAGGTGCATACCGACAAATCCACTCCACTGAGATTTGAATGAGGTTAACCAATATACAGTTTATATACAGTGACGAGATTAATAGATATATCTGTTTGTAAACAGAAACATTAAATCATGTAGCTGCAACTGAATATGTGCAGCACACACGTTAAAGAGGTTCACTTACTGTGTGACTAAGTGTTAGAGCTTAAGACGCCTGATTTTAGTCATTTTAAACGTAGCATAAGTGGTGCTGCCAGATATGGTGGTTGCAGTATCTTAGAAACAACCGCCTCTTGGGATTTTCACACCCTACAGTGTCGAGAGTTTATGGAAAATGGTGTGATGAGCAAAAAACAGCCAGTTAGGTATATTTCTCTGACCGAAAACACTGTGTTAATGAGCGAGCCCAGGAGAGAATGGCCAGTCTCGTTAGAGCTAACAGGTCAGAATTGCAAAAATAGCAGCTCGGGATAACAGTGATGGGCAGAATGGAATCTCAGAGCACACAACTTGTCCTCCATAGAAGTGGTTCTACCAAAAGGACGTTCTACCCGGTACTATGTAGGGGTACCTGAACAACTGGTCACTGAGTGTATGTGGGGTCTTGGATACACCCGTGGTACGTTCACTCCGCGTTTACGGAATGGTAATGAGCATTGCTCTGCATGTTGAGACTAATGCATTGACTGGAAGCTCACTGGTTCAAATCCCGCGGAGGAAAGAGCAATGTCTCCACTGGGCTCTTGAACAATGTGCAAAAAAAAAGTCTTTGCCGTCTCATGGAGATTAAGATAAAATAGGTGAAAATGTGATTTTCCCACGTGGGTGAATAAAGTATCCCTGTTCTGTTGTGCTTCCCTTCATATTTGCTCGTACAGCTGTTACCAGAAACAGGACAAGGCAGAAGAAAAGGCATTATGGAGCATTTTGTTTCTACGGCAATGGAACCCAGACATTTGTGGCAGAGAAGACTGATGTGCCTCATTTTCCACAGATAAACATGGAGCTAAAAGAGAAGCACAAACATAAGGGCTGACTGCGGCACGGCTCGGTACAGGTCTAGCCAGGTTAGCGCTGCCGTTAGCAACAGACAGGAGACCCTGGCCCTCCTGGGGGGCTCTGCATAGGGCATCCCACAGAAGGGTTAAACGGTGTGAATCCGCGTGTGAAGGAGTCTGCCAATTTGAGTGTGTGCGTTTCGGGGTGTTTGCCAGAGTCGGCGGGGGGGTGGGAGGGGGCCTTGAGGGCAAAGTCAACCGTTCTTCATGAAAGAAAGCTCAGATTACCCAGCTTCTTCACGTTTACAGTGACAATACCGGTTTCTCTTTGAAACCCGTACCAATTTTTCATTTTCACATATGACACGACTGTTCAATAACTATATTCTTTACACTTCAATTTGTTTTGTAATAAAAAATATTCTGAACAGGCGAAGCTCTTCCCAGAGCGAAAGAAAAAAGGAACCTTATTCAGGGTAGTAAAAGGGAATGTAAATGAAGGGAGCAGAAGGTGCTCAATTAAAATGAAAAAAGACGCTTATTCTCTTTGCGTCCTTAAGGCTGCAATTCTCTCTGCTGTTGTTGATAAATATTTGCATAGGTAAGATGCACCCTGCGGGCAGAAGCACAGAACATAAAACTCTAATAGAGTAATAATGAGTAAAAAAAATAATCTGTCAGTTTTGAAGCCTGGAAGGTTGCTATGGTTTCACTGTAAGTCTCTAGGATGTCTGATATTTGGCTGTAGTTCACTGCTTTATTTATTTGTTTGTTTGTTTGTTTATTTGTCCTTTATTTTACCAGGAAGGTTCCACTGAGATACAATATCTATTCTTCCAGGAAGTCCTGGCCAAGATGGCAGCAAATAAGGAAGAAAGACAAAAGTTTTGTATACATACATACAGAGATGATTAATATGAACACAGACTAAAACACATACAGATACTCTGAGAGGATGAGTGACTTGTCTTTGCTGTTTGGTGGTGCTACATGAAAAAGGGAACTTTTTCCATCAGTGAGAAGTATAAAAATGTAGTTCTGCAATAGAAATGGTACCTAAATTAATTGTTAAATATCCATATACATATAAATGTTATACATTTCAAGGGCTCTGAACCGGATTTACAAGGTTATCATAGTAACTCCAGGCTCTGTGTTGTTGCTGCCTTTGTGGGGAAAAAAAACCTTATCTGGCTAAAAATCACATCGGTCTTGTTAGGTGAACTTGCTGTAATAGGAACACAAGGGCTTCAGTGTTTTAACACCAGTTTTAACACGAATCTCAGGTCAGGCACTTCAATTAGACGCCAAGTCCGCTGGACCTTTGATGGCTGTCCTGCAGAGAAACCTGGCTGATTATATTTGTGCTTCCCAGTGCTGTCCCAATGGAGCTACTCTGGCTTTATTAGCACAGAGAAGCTGGTTTCTGAAATGTTTCATATCGTCAGAGCACATAAGCTGAGGGCCAGCATGGGAACCGGCAAAAGCTTTATGATACTTATGGATAAACAAAGGTTTGCGTAATACAGGTGATGCTGATGTTACAAAAAGTGAGTTCAACAGCAAGGTTCTGCAAAAGCTGTATTAATTGTCATCCTAGTGAAAGTATGTCATAGTGGCAGTTTGTTATAGTGGCAGTTTGTTATAGTGACAGTGTGTCACAGTTCGCTGTTGGAACTGTAATACTACTTGAGCGGTTCCATGTGCATGAATCCATTTAGTAAGGAAAAGTTTCATAAGTGCTGTGATTGGTTGTGCCCCAACCTGGGTTGTTCCCTGCTTTGCACCCAAAGGTGTTGGAGAGCCATGGGTACCCTGGCAGATCCAGGGGGCCCAGCACTTTACAGGGGCCCTTGAATATGCAAAATGATAAAATTATAATGTAAGGGGATAGGGGGGCCCAAGGTGACATTTGGTCAGGGGCCCTAGAATGTCTTTTATATTACAGTTGCCAGAGGCACAGCAGCAATTAGAGCCACGTCAACGTGCAGCAAAGGTAACTTTTATTGTGACCGTTTACTCGTGGAAATTTAAAGCGCAGACTAATTACAACCTTTGTATTATTACTTTCCTATTGACTCCAACATGATACTACAACAGCACGACAATGAACAAGCGAATAAAACCCTTACAAGCATAGAACAACAGTTTGATTTGGCATAGATTGTACCAGCTTGTACATATAATATTTAAAGGCATTAACTGCAATAACAAGGATGAAGTACAATGATTTAGCTGCATTTTATATATATTTTAATCAATACTTAGTTACTGTATGCTGGAAACTTACAGATGAATCCACCTTAAATACTTTAATTATGACCATGAATACCTTACCATTCGTAATAGCTTATAAAATGCATTTTTTCATTTGACATATCTACATTAGTTAATGCAGAGTTAACAGCTATTTAAAACACATAATTTTTCCCCATATTTATCAATAAACAATGACATGAACATTGAGACACTGGAGAAATGCTCATAACGTGAAATTCAGACATGTTTCATGTGTTCATACATTCAGTTTTTTTTACAAGGTATAAATTTTTGTATGTTTTTATAAACAACAGCTGAACCCAGAACATGATTCTTTGTCCTTGTTAGGCCATCAAGACAATAAGAGCAGTATATTAATACCAAGAGGAAACATCTGTAAACACTAACTGAAGTTAAAGAAATGCATGTGCATGTATGTTTTGGCTTGACAGAATGCACTGTTATTGGAGTATAATTCAGCATTTAATCAGGAAGTGTGGAAAGATATATATATATATATACACACACACACACCATCAGTTGGATAGATCCAATTGCAAACTAATATGTTTCTGTAACTTTTCAGTCTACTGCCTGTCTAATGTAAATTCTCACAGACTCTTACGTTCACGTTCACCTTTAATTAGAGTCTTCTTGAGTCATTGCTGCTTATTCATACTCTTTCAAGCGTTTTATACATGTTTCATTTTTCATTTATGTCCCTCTTCCAATATACCTTTATTTTTTTAGAACATTCTAGAAATATATTACATATATTACATATTCCATTTAATGCATGGTCAAAGTGAAGAGGATGTATAATAATGAACCCAATGTTAGTTATCGAGATAATGGCTTTAAAGATTAATTAGATTTCTTTTGTTGGAGAAAATGAATTAGTTTTTATGTTGTTATTATGCCTTTTGAAGTGTTTTATTGCTTAGAGAATTAGGACATCAAGCTGGGTTGTCATCAGTGTTGACCTTCAGCAGTCTCTTGAGAAGTTTCTTTGTGCTTGAGGGACATCCTGATGTTTTCATACTCCTCTGGGCCTGAGTCACACTTCCACTGGCGCATTATATTGTTGAGGTCCTTCTGGAAGTTTTTGTTGAGCAAGCCGTAGAAGACCGGATTGATGCAGGTGGAAACCATGGCCACCAGGTGGCAGAAGGTGAAGAGTAAGTTGTGGTGGCAGCTAAGCAGAGCCTCGTGGTGCCAGTCGAAGATGAGGTTGAAGATGTTGAGCGGCATCCAGCAGATCGCAAAGGCCACCACGATGGAGGCCAGGATAGCGCTGATTCGTTTGCTCTCGCTCAGCCTCGACTCGCTCTCCCGAAGGCCGCTGTGCCGGCGGAGGCACACGAACACCTTGGCGTAGCAAATGAAGATGAAGCAGAGCGGCGCGAAATACTGCACCCCGAGCAGGCAGGTGGTAAATCCAAGCCGACTCCATTCAGATGGCCAGCTGTCTATGCAGACATACTTATCCTTGTAGAAACTGTGGGAGATGTTCCTGAACGGCTCATCTGTAAGATGATAGAACACCAAGAACGGCGCCGACAGGGTAGCAGAGCCCAACCATATGAAGGTGATTCCCCAGTAGGCCTGTGAGATATTAGGTCTCCAACCTTGAGGCTTGGCGATGAGCTGATATCGCTCGATGGCAATTAAAACCAGGGAGAAGCTGGACACGGAGACGGAGAGGCACTGCACGAAGTTGCTGACCCTGCACATGGTCTCCCCAAAGATCCAGTAGTCCATCAGGGTGTATACCACCGTGAAAGGGATGCACATGGTGCAGATGACCACGTCTGAGAGGGACAGGTTAGCGATCAGCAGGTTCGTGACATTGTGCGTCTCTTTTTTCAACCGAATTATATGAATCAGGCATATGTTTCCGAAGAGTCCTACGAGGATGACCAAAATGTAGCCACCAGCCAGCATCAGCAAAGCGTACGAGAAGGACCGGCAGTCATAGTCTGTAAAACTGGGCTCATTGGCACTTTTGTTAGCATGGCTGGGCCCCTTTATAGTCATATTGGTGACAGTCTGATTGGTGAAAAAGCTCAGGCTAGCCATGGCTATGTCCTTATTTGGTCGATATACAACGGCGATGTAGCTGGTGATGTAGCTGGAGTGATCAACTTGATGAATTTCAATATGCTGGGTACGCTACAGTGTTGCAGCGATTTCGCCTTTGATAACAATCATGAATGGTTCACTTGTCCATGCAATCAGGAAAAATCTATTGGAAAAATGATTAAAGATATGACTTTATACTTTAATAGACTAGGTTAGCCACTGTATCTACCAGTCTAGTCAACCTTGAAGAAGCCAGACTGCTGGTATAAATTAACTGGTGTATTCCTGACTGATGGCTAAATTTGACATATGCAGCATAAAATTTGCTGATATTACTAGTAAACAGACTGGAGTAAAAATTTCTTACTTCGGAACAATATGAAATATTTATTTTTGCCACAATACAGATTAAATGAGCTAATGATTCCAGTAATATAAAATATTCAATATTTATATAATGTGGTCAAAAATGAAAGAGACACCAATAGCTTCAGTTAAACACTTACTGTTTGATTATGTTAATTTCTCAAATTCAGAGAGTGAAAACTCACAGCTTCAAAGTAATATACATAAAAACAAGTCACTTTTAAGTAACCTTATAAAATAAACATAAAACAAATATAAAATATGAACTATCTAATGAGCAAATTTAAAAGCACGTTGTCTATTGTCTTTAACAAAAGCACCTTACAAAAGAACTGTATTCTGACAGTAAAAAAGAAAAAGAAAAAACACTTTATGTCGGTGTTTTTGTGGTATAATAAAATATTTCCATTCCCAAGCTATCATTAAGAAGTCTTTGGCCCATAGTAATAATCCCAGGCTATGAATGGCACGTTATTATACTGGAACCAAAGCCCCTCAGCATTTTCTCCAGTGAGGGAGATAAATGATTAAAGAGACGTCATCCATGCATTGCCAGTGGGTTTTCCACCACTGCCAATATTTTAATGAACCTTCATATCAGTTGATTTTATCTGCAAATTGTCATACTGAACATGCCCCACTTGTAATATACGTAATATACATGACTGATTATAAAGTTTTCCGATAAAAATACAATTCAGTTGTGTTGCTTTGTATATTCTCTTACAATTTCAAGTGTCAAAACTGAAATAAAAGTGATGTTTACTAAATCTACTAAATGCTCTCTAATTTACATCAATAAAGGTTTGTACACGTTTACATATATAATGTTAACTGAGTCAAAGTTAAGGTTGCATTAAATTGCAGGCTTAGAACAGACTCAGATGTATTGTTTATAATTTGTATATTCATTCTGAAATTTCTCTTTTGCAGTATATAAAAATAATTGAAAAATTTCACTTACCACCTATATGCAACTCAGTTGTCCAGGTTAGGGATAGATGAAAAATGAACCAGTTATTTCCTTATTACTAAAATGTTCATTAATAGCTACCTATATATTCACAACCTGTTTCAGGAAATGTGTTCACACCAATGGAGAGCTGTATGGCAAAGAAAGAGGATCCACAGTGTTACATTGGATGCTCTTGAATGTGAGCCAACCTTCACCAGCTGCAGCACCAGACAGAGGCACAGCTAAGAGAGGGAGGTGGGCTGTACTATGGAAACCGTCAGCCAATCAGGGAGGCCATGTGAGAGATCAGTGACAGTCATGAGCATTTCTCACTAAGCAAGAGTACATGAGGGATAATAACCAGATGTAGACCCACCATACATTTCTGGAGTTATATAATTTACACAAAAAAGACCAATTTTGTGACTGAAGGCAAAACCTTTTTGGGCACCTAATTGTAGAGCATTACTTAACAGTTCCGATATGTCTTCAAAATGTGAACAAATTTTTAAATTCTGTATCTTTTTAAAATTCTTCTCATTTGATATGTAGCCCATCAAACCTGTAAAATAGGTTCTCACTGGATCATCAAGCCAAACTTGTAACCTGTCACTGCAAACATTCCATTTTTGCTGCTATAGCCAATAACGTACTAGTATGTCGATTCCTCAAAAGCTTTATTAGACACAATGGAATTCCTCCAGGCCCAAAAAACATCCCAAGGCAAAGTCATCTGTGATTTGAAGGAAACATTTCCTCAGCCTAGCAAGGCTATCCCTTGGAGGCCGTCAGAAACAGAGGCAGACTGACTTATCTGGGGGCCCTAAGATGACATCAGCATGGACACTTAGGTCTTGCCAGCTTAACTAATTAACTATTTCCTTTGGATGGGGCCCAGATGTTGGCTGGGGGCCTGGGCTATAGCCTATGCATTAATCCGCCCAAGTCAACAATATTAGCAAATCTGTCAATCTTCACCAAGTCTGGAAACTATGTAGTACTTCCAGGTATTACTGTGGTAAGCTGTGTCTTCAAAATCAAAGAAAATGCACAGCTTCTGCTTAATTCTGCATGTGTTTTTTTTTATTCCATAGAGCACTATTTTGTATACATATATATATATATTCTGTAAGTGTTTCTCCATATGTCTTGTAATTTTTGTCCTGTACTTCATGTTTGGCACCCGACTGCAAACAATTCTGGAATGTTTGTATATACTGGCCATAACGTGTCTAAGTTCTGAATACTCAGTGTTTTAAGATAAAAGCAGGGAACACTTAAGACCAATTCTGCCATATCTGTAGACCTTATTTGTAGATGCAATATCTGTAGTGTTTTTCGTTTGTTTCCCGCCAAAAAACCCATCTTTTGGGTCCCAGTCAAGCCACCAAAACCTGACAAAGTCCCCATTCACCCCCCCGCTCCATCTCGGCGTCATGTGGCTCTGCTCACCATCCCCAAAGCTGTTCTTTCTCATTTATCTTTTTTTCCTAACAGCACAGTATTTTCCTCAAATCCCCTCTAATAACCACACACCAGCAGCTACAGGTTGAGGTGACCTCCAGCAAAAATACAGTAAAAGGTCTCCAAGATAAAGACATATTTCAAAATCAGTTCATCTACAACTGAAGGGCCATTACAGCACCTATATTATTACATAATCAGCTGCATGTGACAGAGTTATTTTTATGTCTGTTACCTGGTAACAAACCAACGGCTTTCACCATATACTACCAGACTGTGACGGTGACTAACCTGCCACACTTTCCATTAGCAGCACTTTCCGCTGGTGTTTTGGCTCTACATTGACAAAAAGGCAAAAATGAATGAATGGCTCTCAGGAAGTGCCTTCAGTTTAGAGCTTAGATCGGGCCCAAAAAATTAAACCCGACCCTACCCGAGCCCGTGCACCTTGTGTCCGAGCCCGACCCGGTCCAACACATTAACTGTAATTATGAGCCCGAGCCCGATTTAAACCCGACTATTTTTTAATACGTGAGCCGTTGTAACAGACGTTCTCAACTACAATTCTAAGTTGTTTGAACTACAGAAATTAGTTTAGATTTATCTTAATGAAAAATGCAACAAGGACGAAGCATGTAAACTGCATTGTTTGTTTATTCAGAATGGATTTTTGAGACACGTTTAGAAGAAAAGCACGTTTTCACTTATCCAGTTCGCTTGCTGCTGGAACCAGTTTGTGTGCTCGGCATCGAACTTTAAGTAAAGGGTTAAGAAAAAGGTTAAATCCTTCCGTAAGCAGCCAACGAGGTATGTGTTAATTAAGTTTTAGTTAAGTTTGTTGTATTTAGCCATGTAAATGTAAATGCTAACTGAGGTTCGTGTTAACTGTATATGAATTCTCTAAGCTGTCTTTATTGTTATTTATGTTTATATTTCATTTGAATTTCAATGTTTGTTAGCTAATATTGTAAGTAAATGTGCTTGATTTTGTGTTTCCGTATCTGTATTTAGTTCTCACGTCTGCCATGATGGTGATAATAACGAAGCCACTGTCTTTCGAATAAACCGTCGGCTCAGTTAAATGCAAAGGACTCTTGTGCTCGTGTCTTACGGGAGGGAGCTACATTTATAATTATGGCATAGCTCTCCACCCAATTAGGCTAATTAAGTAATGATTTAAAAAAAAAAAAACACACACAAATGCTTGATCATGGCCCCGCCCAGCCCGGCCCGGCCCGAAGATAGTGGCAGGAAATATCGGCCCGGCCCACGGGTCGGGTCGGGTCGGGTCGGGTCTGGGCTCGGGCTCGGGCAGAGAATCTAAACTCTACTTCAGTTCCTCTTCTTAATGCGTTACTCTCAAATTCTATATTACAAGTAAGCCCTCAAAGAGCTTTATAAGTTTCTCCCAAAACCATTGTTTTTACATCCCAGATACTGTCACAGGATGGTATTGTGGGTCTGTCATCGTATAAAAAGACGTCAAACAGACAGATAGGCGGGAGGCAGAGTCAGAAATTCCCACAATTACAATAGACAATAAGTCAAACAAAACATAAATTTTATGTCATACAAGATTGAAAGATGCTATCCATTACCAATATATCATTCTTTTTCCAATAATAAATGTCCAGCTGGATAATGTGTAGCCTTTGTTTACAGGAAGGTACTAGGGGTAGGTTCTATACTTTATACTCAGCATTATTAATAGACAGCATGAGAAATTCCATATAGAGATATGTCATTTGTGATGGCTAAGCACAAATAGAAAACATGGATAAAGCACAGACAAAACTCACAAACTGTGTTTGAAAAAGAAGATAAAAGTCTTCACATTTAATTCATTATTGTTTGACATGACCGGAATGTTGTATGAACTGAATGATGTTTCTTTGTTTAAAATTTTTGTTTCATGGAAAAATGTTTACATTTAGTAGCTGTCAGTTTCATAAAATTAAATGAAATTAACAATATGTAGCATTTTAAACATCAATTTCATAGACTATTACTGTTCCACAACACCAAAAATTTACAGGAATGACCAAACAGAATATCCCAGCAATGTTTTTCAGACTGTGAGGCCAGTATATGCTTGACGTGAAGATGATTACAATATGGGGTGGGGGGGGGGGGGGGGCAGGAATGCAAAATTTTTATTCGATCATGAAATGATACCTTTTAAAGATTTATAATAAACTGAAGAGACACAAACAAGACAAAGGGATCTTTCGGCATAAAATTCCAAAGACGGCCACTAGAGGGCACCACAGCTACTCTGCCAGGCAGTCGATGCAGGTCATCCGTTCGTAGCGTTCATTGTAACTAAAACAAGATGAAGGACATTATGAAATATTGTCAGCATTTAACTAGACTGATGCCAGGCCATGCTGTGAGAACTTCAAAAATGTATTGGTAATTATTTAATGGGTATCATATGGGTCATAATAAAAAACATATGGGTAAAATACACCAAACAAAGTCAGAATTATCATATTTGACTTCCAGTAAGATGGTATACTATACTACTGCACTAAATTATAATTATTTCAATTATTATCATAACCACAATCATAAACACAACAATGTGGGCTATACTTGGGCTGGCAGCAGATGAAACAGTGAGTCCGGAGGCACAGGGAGCAGCGTCGCTGGCACTGCATGCACACCACCTTCTCACAGCGCACACAGGAGTCACTGGCCTGCAGGGGGCGCTCACACAAGGTGCAGGCAGGGGAGGATGGTGGCTCAGCTGGATGCAGACCAAAGAAGGAAGTGGAAGCACGGGGTCGGCTTGCAATCACAATAATGGTCCCATACATATTTATTAACAACAAAACCCATAAAACAGCAGCAAACAGTAGGCACTGCATCGCTACATTGTATAACACGCATCCCTACCAATACTGAGTGTTAACGGGGGTGAGGGGTTCGCTGTTATGCTATGCCCCTTATCATGACCACGTGTCTTACATACATGGGTGGGAAATGAGCCGCTCTTACCTGCACTCCCAGGGCTCCGGAGTAATTCTCCCCTGGACCCTATTCGCATCTGGCCCCTAGCTGTGCCCCGTCGCGCCAAGGGAGAAGGAGACACAGTAGGAGTGGGAGAAAGTTGCAAAGAGCGGGCACCAGAGAATAACAACGCTCTAGTGTGCTCTGAGAGAGGGAGAGCGAGATATGAGGCAAGATAACAAAAAACAAAAACACAGCATACAAGCATAACTGGGACACTTTATCCAACCTGACCCTGACCAGTTTAGGTATGCGTCGTCTAACTTCCGGGTTACGTTCTGTCCAATAGGAAGGCATGTGACTTGGATGCTATGCAAACATCATACACACTGCATACAAATCTGTACGGTGCACTGCACCTATACTGTATTCATACTGCCTAAATAGCTAAGATATTCTTTTATAATAGATTCATATGAGAAAGTACACATTCAAATAACGACAAAAGTACAATAAATGCAAAAATATGCAACATACATGTTTATTATCGCTGTATAATAAATTAGATACGCTATGTCTGCTGTGTCCTGTTAGATTATCAGGTTTTTCCATCTACTTTAACCCGATGGGACCTCAGACATATGGAAAGCCATTTGTATAGAAAGCAGTTTGAGCATTTATTTGATATTAAGGTTAAAAGAGGCTTTAACTAGTTAACTAGTACCTATTCTGGCCTTCACTATTCAACTAGTGAGCATTTTGGCTCTCACCAGCTGCTACAGAAAATTGTAGATCACTAGTTAACTAGTTGCTGGAAAAGAATGACTAGTAGCAGTTTTTGTTCAACTAGTACTACATAAAGGCAAACTAGTGTGACGAAATGTCCGACTAGTGCTGATAACGACGGAAATGGTGGAGGAAACTGAATTCAATGCAACGCAATATCGAATGATTTGCCAAACGGCTTTCCAAATATACGGGACGTACATGCGGTCGGACATTGCGTGGAAGGTCGTTAAGCGAGGCATAACTGTATAAGACTCCACAGCCATATCGACTGAAGGATGAAGAAAAAAGGCACAGGTTACCATTAACTTTAGCCTCTGCCCTCATACTGCAGACAGCAAATAAGAAGCCTTCTGAGCCAAAAGCATTCTCACCATAGACAGCTTTTTTGTCAGCCTCCCCCGCTGCTGCCCCATCTTTCACACAGGTTTTCCTCTGGGGAGTCCCGTCGGACCAGAGGCAACAGCGCTTCGACATCCCTGTCCCTCTGTTCACGCGTTGAGACAGAGAAAGGTGGTTTTGTTTACTAGAAGCAAAACATGGGACTACCCAAAAAAACAAACCATGAACTTAACCAGCACTAAATATGCGAGTCAAGTTTAGTCCTTACAGATAGCAGAACACTTCAAGTTCATAAATGTGCCGATATTTATTTGTTGTGTGGTATACAGTTTTAACTTATAAGCCCATGTTTTCTACGTATATAAAATATTCTCTGGGGTCTCATTGGATTAATTTGAATAGTTCGGTGAAAACCTCCCTAAATCTCCATAAAAACTACTTACATGGCTAGTAATTGATAAATTGGTATGGAATACCTGTATGGTAAGAAATCAAAGCAACTTAAAAGGGTACGCAGATAAAAATGAAGTGTATGAATTGCATGTAATGCATACTGAATAAATACGGGGTCGATTAGTCAAAATCGTGATTAGTAATAACGTAGCACTTTTGCTGTATTTGCAGCAAATACTTAAAGAAAAAAAACGTTTGACGATTGTAATCAGCATTATTTCATGACAATTACTGTTTAAAATTAAGTCACTTATGTCGGCTCACATCGTTAAGGATCAAGGGTTTCCCGTATGAATAATGAGAAAGGCACAAATCATTCATGAATAACACTGTCACACAAAGAGACACACCGACATGTCTCCTAAAAAAGTGACCAAATGGCGCGTCGTTGATTTATTTTTAAATTATTCATTCCACAATCGAGCAGTTTTATCTTGAAATCATGTAAAAATTCTTTAAAAGTGTGAGATATACGTTACAGTACATATTGCAAGCAAATTGAAATTAACTGCTGATGTCCAATCAAAAAGACCCAAAACTGAGTACTTGTATAAAATCCATACCAACTGAGAATTTAAATACACAGACCAGAGTAACTGTCACAAATAATACCAATTCGCTTTTATATAAAACGTATTTAATTACAGTAACATATTTGAATATTTCTTTGACCGTACAAATTATGCAGAAAAGACATATATTATATGGAATTCTGTAGTCGTTTTCATTTTGTCAACAACCTCCAGCAGCAATTTTGGTAAGAATTGTGGTCGAACTATAATAAATAAATGTTGAGAATTTTAAAACAGCAAGATTACATAAGTACAGTCACATAGTAATTTTACATCGAACTACGGCGACTGGATAGTTTATTAGTGTTGTTAAATTAAACGTTTCTTTTTCACCGTTACTTACTAGCTGCAATCTGCCATCTCAAATGTCTTCATATCTGTGAAACCTGCCGGACAGAATAAAAAGCATTTGATTAAGGAAAAACACTACGAGCAGCAACACGCACGGCGATCACGTAAACATGCGTTCTGCGCTTTTGATGTTTTCGTGCGATTTTGTAAACAACGAAATCTGTTGTAATTTAACGGTGGGATGCACGGTAAATGCAATACGTTACCGCCATCTACTGCACCGGAGTACCGATTTTTAAACAATAATACTTTTAATAACGATACCAAAAGCGGATGAGATTCACACCCAGTATGTAAAACATTATTATACGCAACCCAGTTTATCCCAAAAACAGATTTTACGTAAGGGAACAGGCAGCCGACCCGAGTATGCACAGTTGCCTCGACCGGAAGTGCATGGGGTGACCCACAATGCATCGCGGTACGCTCATCTAAATGCCGTGAGTCGCCTGTTGTGCTCAGTTTCAGAGACAGACGACGAAGATGGCGGATTCGGTGAGTAGCGTCTGTTGGGTCGCTTTAAGCGAAGCGCGAACTGTTTTAATTCGATTTTGGGTGCCCTGGACACACCCCGTTCCCCTTAACTGGTTCCCGTTATCTTTCTACATGATAGCAGGTGGAGGTTATCGAGGGGTGTCGGCTCCCGGTTCTCAGGAAAAACCAGGAGAACGAAGACGAGTGGCGTGAGTAGCTAGCTAGCGACCCCAGTCGGAAGGGCACGGCGCCAGGCGGTCATGGCGGTGTCTGAGCGTGCTGTAGCTGTCAGCTGGCTAGCTAGGCTAGGCTAGCGTGCGGCTCCAGCATGTAAACACAGCCCTGACAGCCACGGGGCACCGGACGTCCCGAAACCGAGTCACGGCTGTTTCAGCTACATGTTTCCCATGAATGCAAAGGGACCGTATTTATCCGACTAAAGTGTCGGGGGATTCGGCCGAGTCGTTCATAAAGCTGCCTAATTAGCATTTTGCAGTGTCTTGTTAATGAAGGGGAATTGCAATTATATCCGTCAACTAATCTGCTGCCTAGCTACCTGTCTGTTTCATCTGTTTATTTCTATATGTCTGGCAGTATTTTTTTGTGATTTTATGTTATACGAAAGCAATAAATTGTCACATGGGGAGAGGTAATAGTTATATGTTTATATTAATGAGTTACGTGGAAAAAATCTCTTTCCAGCTCTGGCTGAAATTCTCAGTGTTAAAGAGACAGCGGGAAGAAAGCTCTACTATGTCCACTATATTGACTGTGAGTAAACTGTTTTTTTTTTACTTGTTTCACTGTTTGAAACGGAGTGCCTGTCGTCCTGCCGTGTTTTTTCTACAATCGATAGAAAGAGTGAAGAATGCCTCTTCAGTGTCATGTAAATAAACCAAATGTAAATGCATCCAACTTAAGTTGATCTACCCCAGTATTTATATTACTATTTCAATTTCTCAAGTATTTGCTATTATTTTGTACATTGACGTTTGCATCTTCAGTCAACAAGCGTCTGGACGAATGGGTTACCCCGGACAGGCTGGACATGAAGAAACTGCAGTTTCCCAAAAAAGAGGCCAAAACCCCGACCAAGAATGGGCTTCCTGGGTCCCGTCCCGGGTCCCCAGAGAGAGAGATGGTGAGCGCACCAGTGCTGACGTTTTTAATTATAAAAATAATAATGATTATAAGAAAATTGTTACAAATTCCATATTGGATTAGGTCTGCAAAGGCATTTCCCCCTCAAAGTTTTGAATAGTTGTTAATCTGATTTTTAAATTAAATATCTGAGTGCTTCAGACTTGCATTGTTTTAATTTTTTTTATTTTTAATTTTCGTAGGTTATACTTTTTGTATACTGGTCTATGCAGTAAAATTATACTGGTCCATTGTATACTGGTCCATACAGTAAAAATCTTAAGCATTATAGCTTTGTCTCTGTGATGAGTGATATAAATGGGGACTGTTTTTTATTTAATAATATGAAATTTTTAACACTATTGGTACTGTGCTGCACAAGTCTATGAATTGCATTGCCTTATTATGAAGGGATTTTTTTTCAGTGTACTTTACATTTTTAGCAGACTTTTTGTTTTGTTTTTTATCCAAAGCAAAACTCCAAACAAGTTGTACTGCAAGACACCAGTTTGCTAGATATAGAGGTGATATTTACTCTTAACATTGTTAGAAACGGCACACAGTTGTATACAATATGCAAGTTACTGATCTGGAAAAAGTTAGGAATTGTACACAGTGACTTTAGTATGAGAATGGCATGCTTTTGCAACAGCTGCCCATGTTGCATATCATTTTACATTTGTATTGTGCCCTCAGAGGTTCAGTGTTTCATATTATAGCCCAGTCGAATTCGACAGTAAAATAATTTGTAAATAATGCATGATTTAAAGCCAATTAAATCACTTTTTAATAATAATGTATAATATCTCACTGTCTCTATACAAAGATCTAAGGCAATATCTCTTAATTCCACTTCTTGAAGATGTCAATATGCAGTGATGTAATGGTTATTCGTATTAACCCAGGGGGAAATGAGATGCAGTGAATGTTCAAGCTTGAGTTTGAATGCCAGTTAACCCCCAATTTCTGTTCAAATTCAGAGGAAGAATCTAGATCAGAGCCTCCAAACTGCTACAGCTCCGTCCAGAGGCAAAACTGTCCCCACACCGGTACACCTTCCCTTTATCAGCTTTCCACATGTAGCTTTGGAAACCACTGGCAGTTTCCACAAACCCAGAGTAATGGGTGCCAGTACAGTATAGAGCAAGCATACCTGTAGTATAGATGTCATCTTGTGTTTTGAGCTGTGGTGTCTGCGCAATTCTGTATTCTGTTAAACAAAACTTTGGCCCTTTCAGGAGAAATTGATCTCTTGGTAAATGGTTGTACAGGTGTATCATAGTAGCTGGACAGGTGAGTATGCCAGGGTTCCCTGCTGTGGCTGTGTTTTGTTCCATTATTTGGGACAATTTCTTAATTTTTTATTTATTTTTATTTTTTTAAGGAACTGTACTGAAAGCCAAACCGGTTCGGAATGATTTCTGATTATTTGGTTCCTTTTGACAGATACATTCCTATATAATAGACAAGTAAATGCCTTGTTACAGATGATAGTAACTCAGATGCATCCACAGCGTTGTTCTCATTGAGATTTTAGCACCATTGAGATTAAAATTATTTTTGTTTTTTTAACCCTGTGGTTTATATGGTGCTAAAATTGTGATTGGTAAATGTTCTAGTTTCAGGTGTACCTTTTTAGGTTAAAAGTTGGTGGGTGGAAACAGAACATTTTTCAGTTTCTTTCAGTGACAGATCTGTGCAGAAACATTTGGCTGTTGATAAAACCCTAGTTAAAATTAACTCTCATGTAGAACTAAAGATTTAGGCTTTTTATTTAGCAATAAAAACAACCACTAAATGGAATCCCATTAAGAGTCTAGCATTTTTGCAATAATTGACTTCCTGTCTTCTCATTGGTTCGCAGAAGAGAAAGGCAGATCCTGTGTCCCTGGCGATGCAAGTATCCCCAGCCACACCTGTGTCCACTCTGTCGGCATCTGTGGAGGTCTCGCAGGCATCGATCTACCCAGTAGCACGGGAGCCGAGCACTTTCACTCCAAAAGCCCCTCGCGATGACCACGAGCCGCTCACGACCGTCACCACGGTAAAACGCCACCGCTTTCATTCTGTCCCAGCATTCCCCTTAATCGGATGGCGGGACAAAGTGCCTCGCATGGCGTGGTTGTGCGTTTCTTACTTGTTCTCGTTGTGTCAGTATAAATAGCTACCTTCTGCCCGATTGGTTGTTCTTCTGTAGAACGGAACTGCCCGTCGCCTCATGCCCTCCCAGCCAGGCAGGAAGAGGAAAGCAAACTGTGTGGGCACCGATGAGGTAGGCAATGCCCCCAAGGCAGGTACAGGGCTCTCCTGTTCTGAACCCTGACTTACATTGTGGCACAATAAGGAGGTCGTCTGTTATTTATATGAATGAATGAATGAGTATGGGTGGGTATATATAAGCTGGGCGTCTGTGCCGATCAAACCAGGCTTGTAAAAATGATTCTTTGCAATAACAGTGATTTCACCTGCCTTTGTGTGATGATCTTTGCTAATTCCTGACCCTGATTGATTACTTTAGGGAAGAATAATGTTTATTATAAGAACAGCAAACATCTCCTCCTGTGTAATTTTTCCCTTCCTTTTTTCCTTCTTCAGACTAATGAATGTGTATGAAAACATGATATAGACACATCATGTGCAGCATTTTCCCTTCCCTTTAAAAATGTCCAAAAGCCTGCAACCGCTTGTGTCTCCTCTGCCAGATAATAAAGGTTTTCCAGTATAACAGCCCTCGATGCGCCAGTGTCTATCTGCCGCCTGGAGAGGTCTGGTTATTTTTTCCTTCTCATTGCCTTACTGTGTGTTTGTCTGCAGCGCTTGGTCTCAGACCCGTCGCTGACCTAGTGGCCTTTACCAGTGTTGAACCCTTTCACTCGATGGTCTCTCACAAAATAACATTTTCACTCCCTTAATGGGGAAGAATTTTTCTATAAACCTGAAATGCCACATATCACCCCCCCCCCATTTTAATCAAATTAGTATAGATGAGTGTTCACTCCCTCTGCATCATGAAGACACAATTGCAGTTTTAAAAATCTGCTTCTGCACAAGCAGGTTGTGGTTAACAATCCATGACATAACATACATCTCCCTGGAATACTGTCCCATGCCAAAGGGGTTAGTGAGAAGGTATAAAATAAACATTATCCATCCCAGGGGGAAATTCTTCAGTCGTAAGTATTTGAAAACACAGGAGCTACTGTAGCAGGTAGCTGCTTGAGGCAGCGTTGGAAGATCACAGTATAGAAAAATGTTTCCTAGCTACCTATCACTCTGTTTAAGCCATACTTAAATCATTGTACTTGAATGTGAGAATATTCAGAATAGTAAGACCTTTATTACAGCGTTTTTACAAAAAAGTTTTTTGAAGTTGCATTCACATGTTTGTGTTCATCTGCTTTGATCTAGTGTTGAACTCCTGTAAAACTGGACAGTGTTAACGAACTGCTGAATAAATGGGTGTACAGCTTATGGACCCACTGCTTTGAACTGGTCGGAAAAATTTGCCCTGCAGCAGAGTGCTGAGATGATTCAAAGGAATGGAAGTTCCAGTACAGTTGGCAGTTCCATGAGCACTCATGCCGGTTCGCTGTATAGACAGGGAGGCTCAGATGAAGCTGTAAATGTCTCACAGTTTCAAGAACCCCATCTAAGTGCTTTTCCCCCAAATCACTGTCTCTGACCAGGACTCCCAGGACAGCTCGGACGGCATCCCCTCCGCTCCACGCATGACGGGCAGCTTGGTGTCTGACCGAAGCCACGACGACATCGTCACACGAATGAAGAACATCGACTGCATCGAGCTGGGCCGCCACCGCCTGAAGCCCTGGTACTTCTCGCCCTACCCCCAGGAATTGACCGCCCTGCCCATCCTCTACCTCTGCGAGTTCTGTCTGAAGTACCTCAAGAGCCTCAAGTGTCTGCAGAGGCACCTGGTGAGATGAGATCCCTCGCCTGCCTCGACACGTTTGAGATTAACGAACTTGAGTACTTCACTTTGGGAGCCTTCAAAAAAAATCAGTGTCAACATTTGACAGCAGCATTGCTTCTAGTGCCCCAGTACCAAGATGCCTAACATGTCCCCGGAACTCATCCACTCATCCTCCAAATACAATCAGATGAGAAAGTACTAACGTCTACTCCTCATATCTGTCCACCAGACCAAGTGTAACCTTCGCCACCCACCAGGGAATGAGATTTACAGGAAGGGCACCATCTCTTTCTTTGAGATTGACGGCCGGAAGAATAAGGTAATCCGTCTAGCTTGATGCATACTGCTTGCATTTGGGGCCACATCATCACAAAAATTGTTTTAACACTATTCGTTTAGCAGAAGCTTGACAGCTTGTAGCCTTTTAATGACATATTTCTAATCTGTGGTGCAAGTGTTTTCGGTTTGGTGCCTAAACCTCTTGCAGCCACAATGCTAATAGAGAAAACAATTAGCATTGCATCTTTTTGTATTTGGAAACTAATGCATAGACCCTTTCTTTTATAGACCTACTCTCAGAATCTGTGTCTTCTTGCAAAGTGCTTCTTGGACCATAAGACACTCTACTATGACACTGATCCTTTCCTCTTCTATGTCATGACTGAATATGACTCAAAGGGTTTCCATATTGTCGGCTACTTCTCTAAGGTAATTGTTACTCCTGATCAATATTTCTACAGTTTGTTCCATAGTGATTATCTTTTAAAGCTAATATAGAGCTGCACTTTCTTCAGGGTAAACTTTTCCAGTTGAACAATCTTGTGAAATTAAGTGGATTTCACCTGAAATATGCTTTTAGCAGTGTTCTCTGTATATCAAAGTGTCTGCTTTCTGTATTGATGTTCTTTCTCGTAAGGCAGCCGAGAGAGTGGGACGAGATTAATTCTAATTCTTAATTACAGGAGAAGGAATCAACAGAGGACTATAACGTGGCCTGCATCCTAACCTTGCCACCATATCAAAGAAGAGGATATGGCAAATTGCTCATAGAGTTCAGTGAGTCTGCAGTGGTCAAAATGCTGCTTCAAATAGGACAGCTCTTATCTGTAGTGGCATCTCTACAGTATTGAGGACCTATTACACAGAAAGTTTGACTGGTGCATTTTCTCAGGGCCGAAACCAAAAATTCTGAAAACACTCCTCCACTGTACTCTGTATACTCTGTTTTTGACAGGCTACGAACTCTCCAAGGTGGAGGGAAAAACGGGAACCCCCGAAAAGCCACTGTCAGACTTGGGGCTGCTCTCCTACCGCAGTTACTGGTCTCAGACCATCCTGGAGATTCTCATGGACCTTAAGTCGGACAACGGAGAACGGCCACAGATCACAATTAAGTGAGCAAAAGAGTCCCCATTCTTAAAACACAACATAATTAGATTACTAAAACGTATTTACTGCTGTGCATTAATATACTATGGTACTCTAATGCCAGCAAAGATCTGCTCAACTATTTTGTCTCCAATGGCTTGAAACGGGTTTCTTTGTAACAATTCTGTTTAACTGCAGTGAGATCAGTGAGATCACCAGTGTCAAAAAGGAGGACGTCATTTCTACTTTGCAGTACCTCAATCTCATCAACTACTATAAGGTGAGATTGCATGCAGTATGAACGTATCGCATAGATATAATATGGTCATATTTGTTGCTTTCTTAAGCGCCCCAGGAGGAAATAGTCATTCTCAGTCCGTCTGCTACTACCGCAGAATTGAATTGCACGGTGCACACTCTTAATTGAAGTGGGTGTCCATTTTTGTAGGGACAATACATATTAACACTTTCGGAGGACATCGTGGATGGTCACGAGAGGGCCATGCAGAAACGCCACCTCCGCATCGACCCCAAATGCCTGCACTTCACCCCTAAAGACTGGAGCAAGAGGGGCAAGTGGTAAAGCCCAGGGGACAGTGCTGACTCTTTGCCTTCAGTGGGGCCTCCCCGTTCCCAGGGAGAGTGTAGGAGGCTTTGCTTTTGTATCGTAAATTGTGGATTTGCCCTGAACAACACGGTCCCAGCTCCCTCAGCCCAGAGTCCTCCATTTAGCAGCACCAAGGAGCACTATGGCACAACAGAACTCATCCACTAGCTCTTTTTTTAATAGCTGTTTAGCTTTGAGTCTCTTGTACTCCCTCATCCCAAGTATACAGCCGATTCTGTAGAGTGGACAAGTCACATCGCCAGCATTCATCCAGCTGGACACAATCAGTGAAGTTTCAGGTTCAAGGTGCGGGAAGTTTCTTACTGCTGTAGGATCCCTCACTAACTTTGTACACAGTTGATTGCATATCTGAACCAGAGTAATCATGATTATATATATGTAAAAGGACCATTTGTACATAACTTTTGTAAAGAATTTTTCCCCTGTATGTCCTGTGTGAGAAGGGTAACTCATTTTAAACAAGCTATACTGAAATGTTGGAGGAATGTAAATTTACAGGGAGTGGCAGTTTTTTTTTTTTTTTTAGATGGGGAGGGGAGTAAAAAGTAATTTAGACTTGTGTGTGAGTGATTCTTCAGCAGGGACAGTTGTTTAATTAAAATGATTTATTAAAATCAACCTTCAGGGATAACATGAAAAAAAAAAAACACAGGTTCAGCCAAACGAAAGCTACACTAAAGCTGTAGAAACAAGCCAGAACTCCCACAGCACTGCTAGCGCGACACACGACATTTAGAACTGTCAGATCTTCACTACAGCTTTTACTCCATAAGTACTTGTTCTTAAATCTGCCTTATGACATCCAGCCTCTCACAGTAGACATGACATGTACTAGGAGAGAGAGAGAATAAATGTAACTGCTGCAGAATGATGTGCTTCTGTTCTGCAATGTCAGCTGTTTTAATAGGTAAATTGGCATAGTTTAAAAGAAGCCAGCTCGCCTATCATGGCATGTGTAAGCTAGACCCATATCGATTCTGGAATAAGGAAGAATTCGGCCAGCTTGCTTATGTGGCTTGACTATAGGTACTAAGAATCCTGTCACCACAGCTATGGAAAGGGAACAGTGCAGTTGGACAGCAGGCCATAGGTCATCTTCCCAGCCTTCCATCAGTCGTCTACAGACCCATGAATCTGAAAGATGTTGGGAAACTTCTCTCAACTACAAAACATGACACTTCTGAAATTAGCATTTTTGGCCAGAATTCTATTAAAGGAATTATAACCAGTTAATAAGCCCAGTAAGAATTTTGATGCCTGCCTCAATAGTTAGCAGCTAAAATACTGTGAATTTACTTAAAGTTAAAAATGAAATTTTTGTTTCTACATAATTCTATTACATGGCAGTATGGCACAAGTTGGTTATGTTCATCTGAAAAAAATAACCTAAAACACTTACTGCTTCTGCTAATGTTGGCCATGTCATTGACATGACAACACCATCATCAGGGCTGGGTTGGGTCGTAAGATTCCAATAGGAGAAGCGGTGAAATGTTGAAGAGATCCTCACCGTTCGATCCTGAAAATTCACACTCAAAACCTGAAGCATATTTCTTCATAACTTGCAAATTAATTACAGAACTTCTACTTATTTGCAGTGGTAGAGCATGATGATACACGTATGTTCAGAGTAAAGTGTTTCCATGTAACATTCACCTCTTGATCCGAGGATGGCTTGTGGTCCTCTTTCATCACAAGACCGGTGTAGTCTTTTGGACAGCTCACCTCTGCCCCTTTGAGCTCACGGCCCCTGTATGACACACTAATTTCTGGCAGGGGTACAAAAAGAACAACTATTTAGTCTTTTGCCACGTATTCCTGAATCATTTTCTTTGCTCTGGAAAGCAAAGCACAAACTCACAATTTCAGTACATACTAACCGTGTTTATGGTCCTGTACTACAGCCGTGAAATAGTGAGAAACCTGAGCTGCTCCATCATGCTCAATCTCACATGGTAAGAAGTGGATTTGTGGTTGCTCTGCCTGGCCGATGGACGGAAGCTGAACTGTGGTCACGCTGCCATTGGATGACATCTTAAACAAAAAGAATGAACAAATGGTTATTAGCCGTCATCTGCGGTATAAAAAAATATAGATTTTAAAACGACAGGAAAAGTTCACTAATCTTTTTCAACTTGGTAGTTCACTAGTATTTAATTTGCCTTGATATTAGGTAAGCTGCAACTTTCTTTGATAGATTTATATCTTGGTGTTCAATGACGGAATAGTGTGATATTTTCATTATAAACTGTGTCTGTAAAGGTAACCATAAAGACATCTAATGGTAGTTTTACAGATTATATCGTGGGGAAAAAGGCTGCTTTTTAAGACGACCAAAACACTGAAAGTTAGCCGCTCTTATAGAACTAGTAATTTACCTTACAGAATTCATTGCAGCAGGATGCTTCAAATGGTTTTTCATGCATATCATGCTGCTCTGCCATGCCAAGTTATTGTTACATTCCTCCACTAGTGTGGAAAAATTATTGCACTGTTTTGCCCAATGATGGCCATCTCAAGTTTCTTACCTTCTTTCTACCACTAAGTGTCACTATTGCTCCTCAGTGTTAAAAGATGAAAACTGAAAGTGTCCAAGTTTGATTATTTTAATGTCTTTTTTTCCTAATGATTCTTTGTCAAATTTATCAAAATTAGCATTTTTTTGCATATATACTTGACATATACCACCAGTCAAAAGTTGACTATTTTTAGCAATTTAGTTTAATTTCAAGCATTGTGTACATAGTAAATACTCTCAGAACTTTGAACACAAAAGCAAAACGGAGGATGGCAACAAGGCTGTAATGGAAGGCAAAGAGGAAGAACATGACAAGCTGATGAAGGCAGAGGAGGAGGATGACCAAAAGGCAGTGGTGGACGACCAGATGGAAAAGGTGATGAAGGTGGAGGAGACGGGCAGTGGAGTGAGGCTGCAGAGAAGACTTAGACCTAGTTTTGACAGCAGAGGTTGATAGTTCAGGTCCAGAAAGTTAGAAATCCAGACCAAAATTTTGTTTCAACCATCCAGTTGAGTATAAAGCGTCACAGTCAATGCACTCAACTAGTTGGTTGAAACAAAATCCTGATCTGGATTCTTACTTTCTAGACCAGGGTTCTTCAAATCTGGACCTCAATTCCAAATCCAGGCCTTGTTTTCAGTTCTCCCAGTAATTACAGATTCTGATTGGTCAGAGGCTTCACACCTGGCTCACAGGTAAAGGAAGACTGGAAAACCAGCAGTGCTCGGACCTCGAGGACCGTGATTTGAATAACCCTGTTCTAGACTCTGCTTAACAGAAAGTGGGACAGATTTCAGGCCAGGTCTCACATGCAGGAACGATGCTTCATGGCCCAGAGAGATGCATGTAGTCCCAGTCAGACAGAAAGGGAGGCAAGGGGCATGCAAATTGGAAGCTGGACAGAGCTTCCAAAAACATGCAGAAGAAGCAAAGATTATATGAAACCTTGTCCACCATGCCTCAGTTCAACATCCACACACTGACCCCCACAGCAGCTGGGCCCACAGCCCACACCACACATGCTTTCTGAGGTACCAGAGCAACAAACTGCAGACTGAGGCCAAGGGGTGACAAAAAGCCCACAAGTGCAGCTCTGCATGTATCCCAAAATGACAAAACGAGCATGCAAACTCCACATACAAAGAGCTGAGGAGGGATTTGAACCTCCAGTACTGGGGTGTGAGGTAACCGCAACATCCATTGAGCCATGACACCACCCCAAAGCAAACAGCCAAAAGTACTCTAATTAAAAGTTTAACGGTTCTGAAACCAAGATCAAAACTGTGATAAACGGAAGATAGAAATACCCCCTCCCCAACTTCAACTAACTGCCACTGCTGCATGTGAATCCCACTGAGCTCTTATTACATTACTAATGTAACAAAACTCATTTCACAATTAACACTATAATCACTAACTTATTATTCTATTGAAAGTAAGGGCAAGCTGCATATTTTGTAAATATTACACCTACAGTCAGTCATGCTACAACAAACCGCGCATTCACTAAAATTGCATACTAAAATACTCATCCAATGGGAAAAATAGGGTTAGAGGAATGCGACTCAAATGTAGTTACTTACACCAAACAAAATGTTTTAAATACTAAAAACAGCAATACTTGCAACAAATAATATTATTACAGTATATACATTTAAAATGAAAAATAACATATATTAATAAATTATTTTAAACATCTCCTATGAGTTTCACGAGAATTGTGTAGTAACCGATTCAATTGAATATGCTGAACTCACTCTCATCGATTGCCGAGAGTCAGGAGTAGTGAGGGTCAAAACGACGTTACAAGAACCATTTGCTGTATTTTCTAAAGCCATTAGATGGTGCTGTTGGCTTACTTTGGGGCATGTTTGAATCCTCTTTTGAACAGAAAGCACCATCTAGTAGGGTCAAAAACTACAGCAAATGGTTCATGTAGCGTCATATGGTGCATTTCCAATGCCATCAGGAACCGAGCCATACACAACTGGTACCGTGAACTGATGCTTTTCCATTGCAAAGTGTGCGAGCCGTACCCAACCTGTACCTCTGCAGACATGGCTCTGCTATCTAGCAGGGCCAAAAGTATGCCTAGACCGAGCTGGTTGCGTCACCAGCATCTGACTGGTCAATATGCATGGAGATATCATGCAGTGATCTGTCGATATGCATGGATTACTTGAAGGAAAAAATGGCATATTCTATATATAATTAGTAGTATTGCAAGTCACAATCTATTAATGTATTCACAATAACTCAAACCTTGAAAAATTCCAACCTCCTACTTAAAAAAGTACTATAGAACAACTGAACAGAATGGACTCGTAATGCAAATTTACACAGGCGAATATGAATTCCGCTAGCATTTCATGCTTGCATAACATGGCGATCCTCACAATGCGGTAGCAGAAATTAGCACACAAAAATAATACCTACACTCAGTAAATCAAGATGTACCTTGTGTGAACAGTAAATAAGCATCTTGATCATTATAATCCACCCATATTCCCAAACTCTTCATCCAGTACACAGTAAGCCAGAAGCAAGCCAAACGCCTATCCCAGGAAGGGATGCAAGGCCATCAAAGAGCACATTCACACACTGTGCTACAATTCACATAAACCACATATTGATTTACAGGAGAAAGCCTATCCGATATGGAAATAATATGTAAACTACACAAATACAAGGAACCAGATGGAAGGTGCTGTGGCACAATCCTTACTTTGTGCCACAGCACCCAAACAACAGTTACATCATCAGGTCATGCAAGCTGACAAAACAGGTGGTGAGAGCCAGCTACCCAAAGCCGTGCAGTAATTTAGACCAACATTAGATTTTCACCATTCTGCTAGTCACAGGAAGATTCGCTGCCTACAACATGCTCCCCCAAGCCCTTACACAACCATAGAGAGTTTGGACTACACAGTGGTGGCACATTAATACCCTCACACTCTGTTGGACATCGGGGTCAGAAGCTGCAGGAGATTAATGTGACACATGCAGGATACTGGATTCAATGTGAATCAAAGGCAAAGGCCTGACAAAAGAGAGACTGAATGGCCAGCAAAATTATCCTGCTTTCAGTTACACATATTGTCGGCACAATCTACTTGTGTACATGTCGAAATTTATGTACTATAACATATTCGTTCATTTAAAATATTCGCAAGACATAAATAACTGAAAGATAAAGTTTCGAAAACACAGGTAAAGCGATTTGCATTGAAGCTAGGTGGTCGTTGTGAAGCTACTCCTTCTGTATTTTGGTCCTTGAATACGAATTTCGTTTATCACACTTTTGACACTAAATATTTTATGGGATCTAACGTTTTGCAGTTTACATGCTGTTATGCGAAATGATAGTGAAGTGGGTGATGCGGGAATGACTTGACCAATTTACATTTAATTACGTGCATCCAAAACAGCTCTACTAAGCGGGCACACAGACGCTGCGTCCCTCACAGGACACATGTACACGTTTCCGTTTTAAATGTTAATAGTCAAATATTCAAACACGCATTATTCAGAATCATTTAGTAAGACATATATTAGAAATACGTTACCTTGACCTTAATCTCAGGCCAAGCTCATTACTCGTCAATTGCTGAGAAAACGCGGCTAGCTATCCAGCCGGCACAGTAATGGGCATTCACGAATTTCAGCTTCATATCCACAAGGGTCAGTTTCGAAAGCTATCTGCCGACAGTATTTAAAGACAAAGCGCAACGTTATATTCACCCAGAATACAACACTTTAAAGAATAGAGGATCTTTTCGGGTTAAATAACACATACCTTGCCATCCACTTTCCCAGTCGGCGCTCCGCAACTCAACGTCCAAGTTTTGGCGCCAGATCACGTGCCACAGTCACGGAGATTCTGGGAAATGTAGTTCTCTTTAGAAATCGGACCTCTTTATCATTCGAATTATGCTGTAAATATGCGATATAGATGCTGGTCGCAAGAGTTCACTGTTGATGATAGATCTCAACTGAATATGCTGTTTAACTATGGTCGGAACAATACTTATAAATGGAGTAATAATGTATGAGGTTCATTTCGATAACAAGCGGTGGTCAGTCGATACATTCAAATAAAGGCTAATAGTCCCAAAGCTCGATGTATTGATGGTTATTCTCTTTAAATAAATGATGTGAAAATTCATTAACCGGTGTTCTTCCTTCATCTGGACCTTACAATTCACACACGACGGCCATCCTAAGAAGTATTTAGGAACAATTAATTAGTGCCCACCTCATGGAGCGCCTGGTGATTGGCGGGGACACAATTTACACTTTCCGAAGTCTGAATGGGAAGTAATTAATGGGTCTGACTGACTTAAGGGACCTTCAATCCAAGACAGCAAGAAAACTAATTTGCACCTCGTTTGTGTCTCCTCCTTAAACGTGGTGACACAGCTGGTCGCTGTGCAGAATACGCACATCTGGACTGAAGGGAACCACCAACCCCCGGTGCGCTATAAAATACTTCCTGTAATCTTTGCATTTAAACTAAGTGAGAAAAGCTTTACTCGTCGCGAGCCATGCATTTAGACCAGATTGTAAGAAAGCAAGCGGTGCAGGTGTCCTGCCTCATACATTCTTTGAGGTCACTTGCAATTATTTTTACAACATTGCCCATTAATCGTGTTTGCTTTAGCAACTGGATGTAGCCTCGTAAAACGACAACCCGAAAGTTTTTTTCCGTGCGGTTGGAATGCGTATCATGAGTTACATGGTGGTGGCAATCTGCTCGAACCATTCGATTTTTTTTTTCTCTCAAACGCCATTCTTTAGAAATGTGTAAGTTGTATGTGGAGTAGCATATTATTTTGTTTTATATCGAATAAAGAATGGACGATTCATTTTTTTTACTTATTTATTATAAATTGGAGATCACGTTCCTTTGTTATGATAGCTTTAAGCTCTTTTTCAAGAGATAACATTTAACCAAAATGTACTTTTAGACTCTAGGGCATATAAAATGTCTATTTTTTTCTTATTTCATTATATTTCCCAGAGAAATATGGTTAATAATACGACGAATGCTGTATCTCACATGCTCAGAGTCATACAAAATCACTTGCCTACGTCATGGCACAAGTATATACATGTAGGCAGGCACAGACAATGGTTATCATAACCACTATAGTTGTCCCTGCTACCTGATGCTCAGAGCTCGTCTCGCCTCAGTCCTGCCTCCTAGAAGGTTGCCCCTGTTTGGTTGCCCATACCAACCCTTTGTCGCCATCAGTCAGAATACAGGAACCCGCACAATAACATTTGACCTCTGCCTTCTGAAGACAACAGTGGGCGCCTTTCAGGCCCTGGTCTGGGTGGGTACCGGTGCGGGTGGTGGGTGCAAAGAGCTGGGGGGGCTCCATACAGGCTGTAAAGTAAATGTTTACTTTCTGCCAATAAAAGTGAAACTCTACACCATGATCTGCTAGGCAGCTGTCTCCTACAAAGGCGGGGAATGAGAGAAAGGGGAGCAATGGAGAGGGGGAATGGCAGAGAAAGGGATTTTGCTGTGTGTGAGACAGCCCAGGCTGGTGCACAACACTTAATTATGCGTGACATAAAAGGAACATACAGCCATTTAGCATTTGCACCTAAAGAAATTTCATTAACACATGACGATTCCGTTGAGCTTCAGGAATATTAAGCAAGGTCCTATTGGGGGGCCAGCATCTGATTTTCTGTATTGGGCAATCATTTAACATTGTTATGTGGGGATTTTTGGCGCTTTTCGTTTGTCAGATCCAGTGAATATGGAGTAAAACTACAGCAGCTACCAAGAGCTGAATATTGGACCCAACACATTACATAAATATCTGATATAAACATAATTACCACTTTATTATACGGAAACATTTGAAATGTTGATGGATTTCAAAAACATTCTAAATATTGCCAAAATGTATCGAAACAAAAAGGTTCCATTCTGGGATGGGCCAATTCAGGGAATAATTTTGATCGAACAAATTAAATCTAAATATATGTGGAAAATCTATAATAAATCCTACTTTTAGTAATTAAACTGAATGCAGTGGTTTTATTAATATATCTTATAAACACCAATTACTGTCCAAGATGTGATTTCCTTTAAAGTGATTATATAACAAAGGTACTTTTCATAATCTGGGCTTGTTGCACAGAGTAGACAACTGTAAAACACAAAATATTTTAATGCCACAGTTTCCAGTAAAGTGATAGAGACAGACTGATGAACTGGCTTGTAGAAGTTTATGCTTTATGAGAGGAAATTAAAGGCTTGTTTGACAAGAACAACACACCTACGATCTTACCATGATTTTAAAAATTGTTCCTGTGTCCTTTGAAACGTTCAGCATCCTTAACCAATAATATTTTTCAGCAACCAGAAAAATCACTTAAAACATATATTACATAATTATTAAGTCTGTGATTATTTTGATTATTCAATTATTTCTTTTTGTTGATGAACTGGGTTTTAAATAGTTTTTGTGCTTGACTCCTTGTTGGAATTTGATGAATTTTCAAGGGCAGGATTTTCTCTTCTTTCGATACTCAATTGGGAGATGTTTATTCAATTTTGAATTTATAAAAAATAACCAAAATAATCTCCCATAAAGTTATGCTTATTTGATTGCGCTCTCACAAGAAAAATATTTTTATTTGATGTAACACCTGTATAAACAGGCTGATGAGGTGAATATTGTGGTTGCACTCTTGCCTCCCACCTCAGTGTAAAGTTTGCATGATCTGAGCTTGTGTGACCTGCAATGGCCTGGCACCCCATTTAGTCTGTACCCTGTTCTGCCTGGAACAGGCTCTCCCACAGCCCTGGCCAGGATAACTGCTGGTAGTACGGACGTGTCGTCAAAAACACCATCAGACGTCTTTTTTTCCTGACTCGCCAAGCAAATCACTCATTTATACGGTCATTTAGCAGAAAAAATGCGCTATTACAATGTCGATAAATATGTCTGAATTTGTTCAATCTATTTTGTTATATGTTTGAGGAAAAAATCCCCAGTCAAATTAATTATTTTTTCAGATACGTGTTGCATACGTAGTACGCCTATAAATTACAACTAAGCAAAAACACTTAGGAGAATAAAGTTTAACGCAAGAAAAAAATAATCTCACTAAAATATTTAAAATGTCAATATAAATCTATGATATAGTAATGAAATAATAAAATAAGCTATGTACAAAATATGTATTAATTAAATTTCAATTTTGATCAGGTGTAAAATTCTACTTGGGTTTATTTTTATTCCGTTATCTTTATCAGGGAAGCAGACTTTATTTAATAGCTACCACATCGCAGCAGACTCTTAATTTAAGGTCCATCGCATATTCTGTAATTTAATTTTGTGACTAATATGTAAATTTTGCAGAGTGAAAAAAAAAAGTTAGAACATAATTAGATTGGTCTGGGTTCGGGGGGCTCAAAATGGTATGCTTTCATATCAGTCTCTAGTGGCGCCCCTCGCTGTATGCAACCAGAAACCTCCCTAAAAGTTAGTGTTATTTTGTGTTTAAGAGTTTATTACGGTTACAACCTTTTTTTTTAATTCACGTGACATGCTTCTCAATTCGCAAATATACCATAAGGATTTTTGTTGTTATTGTCACTGTTGTTTATAATGATGTTGCAAAAGGTGTGATTTCAGTAGGAGGCGAAAATGGGTGGGACCGCGGAAGGGGCGGGGATATGGGACACCGGCAAGGAGGTGGTGATGCTGGGAAGACCTTAAAAAGAACCTGTAGAATGCTCTTGCGGTCCTGCTAATAAGCCCAAAACGAGTTGGAACGTGTCACCCCGTAGATTGTTCTTTTCTGTTTTCCTAATTTGCCCTAAATAGTTTTATTCCCTTTTCTACGCTGGGACTTAATTCTGAGCGGAGTTTCAGACAAAATGATTCGTGGTGTCAAACTGGAAAATAACGAAGAATGGACGGCATTTTATCAGGATGAGGTAAGCAGGTGTAAAACAGGTTTATCATTTTTATGGGCGTTTAAGTACTCCGGCAAAAATCGTTTAAACTCGGCCGTTAGACCTATAGACGTTAGACTTTAGACCTTCACATCGCAAACTTCCGATGGATGGTGAGTCTAAAGTGGGTTTCGGATCCTGGCCTGAGACTGTGAAAAAAAGTTTTAGTAGGCTACAAAGTTCGAAATAAGATGTTATTGCATCAATAATATTATAGCTTGCGCACTGTACTGTGTAATATTCAGTATACTTTTATGATGTATAATTGGGAAACTGTCAGTGTTAATGAAAAAATCACAATATAGGCCACGAGGAAATACTTAAATTATAAGTAGCCTACTGATAGAGCGCAGAATTTGGTTCTGATGATGTAGTCAAAAGGGAAATTAAATCAATAAATTGAATCAATTAATTTACTTAGGGAAATGGTTTATAGTGGGTTGTACTTTGATTTGCATTTTTTAAGTTTTCATTTTAAGTGTTTGAAAACTATTTACATAAAACTATTGCACCAATTATGCGAAGCCCATTTTTGTCTTGTAAACTGATGTCCTTCTATGATAGTACGGCTGCACTAAATGATCTCCAGCGTTTATAATTATTTCTTCCCGTAATGAGTGTGAATTCAATTAACATGGCACATTTTCTCAGTGGAAATATTGTTAAAAGGTAATTAAATTAGCGTCCTTGTCGTTGCTTTTATTTTTATTTTTTTGCTGGTATAGTTTTGCTTCGAGTGTTCGGGAAATGCTTCAGTTGTATTATTATTTAAGTGAAACATTTAAATAGCATTGTTTTCTTTACCAATAATAATATAAATAATGAAAAGTTATTTTGTATTATTATTAGTAGGCTATTATTATTATTATTTTACTGATA